CCGTATAATAAAGATTGTGTAGTTCGTGTAACGTGATAATTTCGAATGTCGATCAAAAACAAAATTCCACTATGCTGGGTTTGACTGTATTAATTTGATTTTTTTTTCGATTTTTTGTTAATCGTAATAGTAATTAATAAAATAAAAATGCCCGAGTTCAAAATAGACATGACAGTAGAGTTGTGTTAGCTTCGTTTTTGGCTTTGAAGTTAACTCACACACGTAATAATAAATACACAATAAATAAAAACACGATTGAGCTGACTTTAGTGTCCGAATTTGAAACACACAAACTGGTCAATATTGGTACATAGCATGACTTTTACATAGTACATAATACAGGTTTTGCAAGTTTTAAAGGTGATGAAAATAAAAGAAATCCTTTTATTGTTGAATTACTATATAGCATCACAATGAATCAACCAGAGTTTGGTGACAACGATTTTTTTTTTTTTGATGTTCTTAAATAATGCAATTTTTATTTTCAAGATCTATATTAAATTCTTTTATCTGATAGAGATAATTTCAAAGATAATAATTATTAAAACCCAGAAAGAGTTGTTTGTTACATGCCATTCAAATCAATTCTCTACAAAACAAGGTTGTGGCCATGTGGCAAGCTGAGTTCTAAGACAGTTTACAATCTGTTGTGTGGCCATGTGGCAGCAACTTATTTGAAACTGTTTTTCATGAATTATGTGTTGATTACATTAGTATAACATAACACTAAAAAGCATTTCTTGAGATAAATTTTTTTTTAGATGAAGAGCCCAAGATAAGCAAGCCAGGCACTCATTGAAAAACATACTAATATTGTTATTTGGTATGGTGGATGGTTTGTTCTGCCGGAGAAGAGAGGCGTTTTTTGTTGATAGCAAGAAATATAACATATTTTATAAATGTATTATTGAAATCAAGATCTTGTCATGTCTCTAGGTATTTATTATAAAGAATTCTTATCAAGATGATAGTAAATGATTGGGATTGTTTTTGCTTTTCATAATCAATATTAATATTAATATTTATTACAAGATGTCAAGGAACATTTTGATATGTTACAATTGATTATAAGGAAATTCAAAGCATCAGGAAATTAAAAATGTGTTATTCATAGTGTTAAATAGCACATCACCACTATTTATTACTTATTTATATGTAATAAATAATATAATTGTGGCAAATATTATTATTTAAAACTCAGCTATTTAATAATTAATTATTAATAACATTAGATAAATAACATAAATATTGCAATCTGTTATTTATTATAAATTTATTATTTACAGTATATTATAATAAATAAGCATTATTTACTAATAATAAAATTTTTATGTTGAATTACTTTTTGTAAAATAAAATCAATCTAACATTTATGTTAAATAATAATATAATAAACCAAAAAATAAATCTATTCACAAAAAAAGAATTCTAATGATTATGATGTGGGATAATGTGAACATTTGAAACAATTGCATTTATGTCAACAAATATTATAACTTTTAGTTAATTTAAGATAAGGACATTCATATTTGTAAAACCTTTTTGGATCATCTATATATTTAAAATCATACCATTGAATTAAAGCCAAATCTTCATTTAAATAATTGGAATTTGTAAACTTAAATAATAACAGAACCTAGATAAATGTTAATATAATATTACTGATTGGTTCATATAATTGATTGATTTATTGACAATAAATATACATTTCCACAGCAATTTCCATTATCATCTTCATTCATACAAATCATAGTGTTACTAGACATAGGCTCAGAATAGAATTGTTCTGTACATCTTATATATTCATCAGAACACAACCCTGCTGTTTCAAAAAACTGGAGTTCTGTATGTTTGTTAATAGACTTTCTATTGGCTGTTGGTTCCATATCAAAATATACATCAAGACAAGATATTAAATTTTTTAATCCATCAATAATTTCATTTGATTCGAAATGTTGTTTATTTATATGATCATAAATATTAGCAAGTAGAAATTTTGATGTTGGTTTTATCAATTTAGAATGACCATTTGTTTTGTTTGGTTTATTCTGAGTTTTTTTAAGAGAATCATGAACTATAGTTGAAATGTCTTGTCTATATACCTACACAAATCAGAATCAGAAATAATTAACTTTATATAAAAATTTGCTAACCATAAAGTAAAAGTACAAAAATATATTTACATGATTTAGCATTTGATTAATGGGGTTCCTTTTATTGGTGGATCTGTAAGGAATTTTAACAGAGGATTTGTGAAGTGATTCATATGTTTCAGCTGTTTGACCATTGAGTGAACCAAAATATTTAATGGAAGAAGATGTATGAATGTAACTTAGGTAATGATAAGCCAGATGGAGAAAAGGATTTAAAAAGTTTGACAAAAATTTCTGCCCAACTTTTTGTCATATTCTATTTGATAAATCAACTATTATTAGTATATAATTAATGCATAATTTGAAAAATAAAGTCATAACTAAAGGAAAATATACCTGAAAATCAACTAACTCACTTTCAGAAAATTGGTTTTCCTACTCATCAGGCACATGTTATTCCAACTCAAACATAGTAAAATTTTATAATCAAATGTTTTCACACCCTCATTTGATACCCTTGCTGTGTAGCAACCACCACCAAATTTGATATATATCATATGGGGAGGCATTCATTTTACCGACAATCATTTTACCGACAGTTCATTTTACTGACAACATGCAGTGCGCCATTTAACCTCCACATGATCAAACAACAAATAAAATGCTAAAATGGCACACCGTGTGTTGTCGGTAAAATAAATGATTGTTGGTAAAGTAATACGTACCCATCATATTAATATGTATCTACTTTATGAAAAATCTTAAAGCAGGTTGTTAATAAAACCAAAAATAATCTGACCCTCAAAGTCAAATTTTGCCTTTATATTCATATGCATAAAATTTTGTTTGACACGTCCAATTGCAAGTATAAGCAGAAATAAATGTCCAAACATTACATTATTATGAATATTTACAGATTTTTGATCACTTAGGTATGTCTTTTATAGTAAAATCATTTATTTTAAAAGTAAATATAATAAATAAATAGATTTTAAAATTTTTCTTTACCTATATACATAAATAATGATTGGAATAATAAACAAGCAACAATGATGATTAAATTAAAAGGATTAAAAGGTGTTTTATCTCTGACTTTATTCATTTAATTATTTATCATAGTGAAGTTATTAAATATAAGTTAAAATAAAAGAGAAATTTATATACATAAATAAATAAACATAACTATTGAATGATTGATAAAATGTTTGTTAATATATTTTGTTTATAGATCTTGTCCTTAATGCTTACTTCAATCACTCCTATACAACTATTGAATAATTGATAAAATGTTCGTTAATATGTTTTGTTCATAGATCTTGTCCCTAATGCTTACTTTGATCATTCCTATACAATTGAATAGTTGATAAAACGTTTTGTTAGTATATGTTGTCGATCACTCCTATACAACTATTGAATAGTTGATAAAATGATTGTTAGTATGGTTTGTTCATAGATTTTGTCCTTAATGCTTACTTCGATCACTCCTATATAAAATATTGAATAATTGATAAAACATTTGTTAGTATGTTTTGTTCATAGATCTTGTACTTAATGCTTACTTTGATCACTCCTATATAAACTATTGAATAGTTGATAAAACGTTTGTTAGTATGTTTTGTTCATAAATCTTGTCCTTAATGCTTACTTTGATCACTCTATACAAACTATTGAATAATTGATAAAAACGTTTGTTAGTATATTTTGTTCACAGATCTTGTCCTTAATGCTTACTTTGATTACTCCTACACAAACTATTGAATAATTGATAAAACATTTGTTAGTATTTTTTGTTCATAGATCTTGTCCTTAATGCTTACTTCAATCACTCTATATAAACTATTGAATAATTGTTAAAACATTTGTTAGTATGTTTTGTTCATAGATCTTGCCCTTAATGCTTACTTCGATTACTCCTACACAAACTATTGAATAATTGATAAAAGTTCATTAGTATGTTTTGTTCATAAATCTTGTCCTTAACGCTTACTTCAATCACTCATATACAAACTGGATCTTAATTTTTATTATCATCCTCAAAAAAGATGGTTCGTTGTCGTCATTTGCATATTATTGTTTAATGTTCGCTCATATTCATATAGAAACTGCTCACAGAGAAATAGAATTTTGGCTAGAAAGAACCAATACCAAATCCAAAGATGAAATTAAGATTAAGAAAATCAAAGGTTGCTATAACAACTACTGATTGATGGATATTCATAATAATCATTAATGAGACTTTAATCAATATAAAGCCAGAAATATAAAACAATCACCTTTTAGTTTTTGCTGAATCCCATCTACATAAAATTCTTCATGACTATTAAAATTTCTATAAAATAGTTTTTCGTGAACCTCTCTAAAACTTATTAACCAATACCCCCATAAAGTAATGACCATATGAAAGCTTAAAGTATTCTACACCTTCTCATTTACTATCAAGTCTTTTAAAGCAATATTGAGAAATAATCTGAGCTTTGAAGTGAAAAAGTAATACCATTTTTGAATAGCCATGAATTCATGTAGAGAAGACCTTTCAATATGAAAGAGTATTCATTAGAAAGCTTTAATGGAGTACTTTCATTTTACTCTAACAACAAAGTTCAAATTTATTATAAAAATAACGAGATATTTTAAAAAAAAACTTCATGTGACACGAATTTTGAGTTTATTTTCACATAGAAAATTGAAAAATCCAGAAAAATTTGGTTTTGAAAATTTATCTGCTAAACCCCAAATCTGCTATACTGAGGTCCACTATACCAAGACTCACTGTGTAGATAATATTTTTACTTGTAATACACAGTGAATCTTGGTTTAACAGATAGTTTGTGCAATTAGGGAAAATCCATTAACTGCTATATCAAGAAGGTTTTTATTAACAGTATAACAAAAATCTGTTATAACAAGGTTTGACTGTAATAGTAATTATTATCTCTTAAACGGTCAAAGTATTCTTTAATGGTAACATAAAATAATTTTTTGATCACGATCTTGCATTCTTATTGGCCTATTTAACGATCTGCAAAGTAAAAATAGTCAATCAACCAACTTTTAAGGATGATTTTACGAAAACCACAAGGACAACAACCGAATTTTTATTCACAGATCAATCAGCTGAATCTCAAATATCATTTTTGTATTAGGAAGCGTTATCTTCAGAAAAAGTTTTTTATTATTATAATAGAAAAAAAATTCCGGCTATCAATGTCCGGCCAATAAAATTCTAAAAACATATTAATCACGTGAAGATACTCGCTTAAATTTCGGACTGATCTACATTTTTAGATGGTATGCAAATAATTATAAAATATGATTTCCCCTTTAAATCTTCATTTATGCCAGGAAGATTCTCCAAAATTCCGTAAAGAATTGATTGATTGTGAAAATTCAGTTTTTGGCTTAGAAAATAGTATAAAAAATCTTGTCAAATTAGCAAAATCTAGTGTAGACCTTGCTTCAGGTAAAAAATACTTTATTAAAATTTTTCCATTTTTAATAATCAATGCATTAATCAATTAATATTATTAGATTATACTATTAAGCAACTTCAATTTGCTGAAGAACTTGGAAGTTTTGCAAAACAACAACCTGAATCAACAATAAGTAAATATTTATATTAAAAGATTAGTATATGTATAATTTTAAATATCTTGATAATTAATTAATTTAGATTAATTGAACCATTATCAACATTATGATAGAATCTATTCTTATAAAATATGCAACATCTTTGCAAGAAGTTGAAAGAAGTCGTAGAATTCTTGTAAAAATTCAAGAACTTTTTTCTCTAATCTTTATATAATGATAAATTGAAAATTTGAACTTTCTATTTATTTATTTATTTATTTATTATTTTTTTTTAAAGAATTCACATATAAATGAAATGTTTATAGAACCACTAGAAGCTTTTGCAAAAAATGAAATATTACCATTAAAGGTAAATTTATTAGAAAAGCTATTATATTTATATTTATCACAAAAATTAAAAATTATATTTATATGTTATTTATTAGGAAGTAAAAAAAGTATTTGAAAAGGCTAGTAATGAAGCTGACACTGCTATTGCTAAATACATGAACAAAAAACCTAAAGATTCAACAATCTCTGAGGTATTATTATTTTGTGAACAATTTGATTAATATAATCTACATTTTGATTGATTATCATAGTATATTTATACTATATTTTGTTAGGCTTCATTTGAAGTTTCTGAAACAAGAAGGGAATTTCATTTTCGATATCTTGACTATGTTTCAAGATTAAATGAATTAGAAGCAAAGAAAAAGTTTGAATTCATGGAATATGTAAAGGGTCGATTTCATTATTAAAACAATAATTTTTTTTTATTTTGATGGTAAACATTTAAATAATTTATTATTACTATTATAGATCTTAGCATTAATGTTTACTGAGTCATCTTTTTACCATCAAAGCTATGAAACAATGAAAGATCTTGAACCTCACATGAAAGATGTGACAAGTTGTGATTTTTTTAAAATTCAGTTTATATGCATAATATACACACCACTGTTAATAATATAATTTTTTTATTTTTTACTTTTACAGGATTACTTCATGAGGTACTTTATTTTTTAAAAACAAAAGATTCATTATTCATTTGCTCATTTATCATTTTATTATATAATTAAATATTTTTATTGTTAATAATATTATTATTACCATTAGACAAGGATGAAATATAATAATGACATGAGAGATTCTGATCAAATAAAAAAGTCAATACTAGATGTACATGATTATTTAATCTTTTATTTATTATTTATTTATCAATCATAATTTAATAATTCATATTAACATTAAAATTTTTTTTTAAAAAAAATAGTTGGCAAAAGAAACTTATAATCCATTAAGTTCTAAAAAGAAACCCATGGGAAAATTGCAAAAAACTACTTTAAATAAATCATCATCATCTTTAAATAAATCTGGATATTTATTTATGAAGGGAAACCAGAGAGTTATACAATCATGGTCTCGTAAATATTTTGTTATTTCTGGTGAATATTTATATCATTCTAGTAGAAATGGAAAAGTAAGCTTACACAATTACTATTTTAGTGATTAAATATGATTTAGTATAAATTAATATGGTTAATAGTAATAATAAGACTATTGTTAATTGTTGTTATCATTGTTACAAGGTTTCAAAAGAAGAAGAGGAACCATCTTCAATAAATCTCAGAGTCTGTCATATAAAACCTGTTCAAAATATTGATAGAAGATTTTGTTTTGAGATAATATCACCAATGAAGTATTTACAAACAATTATATATTTTTTATCAATTTATTAATTATTACATCTTTTTAATACATAAAAAATTTATAATACATATTATATTATAAAATTAAGAACTTATGTTTTACAAGCTGAAAATCTAGAAGATATGGAGGATTGGATGTATTGTTTACAAACAGCAGCTAAGGAAGCATTATATTCTGATAGAATTCCAAAATCAACATATGGAGATGTAAATAATTCACAAGTAATATTATTATTATTGCTAATTATTATTATAATAATAATGTAACAAGAAAATAAATAGGCTTGACAATAATAAACAATAACAATATTTAGGAGTTATTTAATTATGATATGATTGGTGATTTCAACATAAAAAGTAAGCATATCAAAGAGGAAGAAGAAGAGGAATTACAAAGAATACATAATTCAATTAATAAAATCAAAGGGTTTCCTGGTAATTCAATATGTGCTGATTGTAAAATTAAAGGTAAAAATCTAATTAAAAATATTTATTTGAATTAATTGATCTATTATTAAAGCAATTTTTTTTAGATCCACAATGGGCCAGTACGAACTTTGGCATTTTATTATGTATTGAATGTTCAGGAATTCATCGTAGTTTAGGTGTTCATGTAAGTAAAGTTAGATCATTAATGTTAGATAAATGGGAGCCAGAATCAATAGAAGTGATGTTAAGATTAGGAAATTCTAAAACAAATGAAATATTTGAGGCAAAACTTAATGATGATTGTTATAAAAATGCAAATTCTTCTTCATGGGAACGGTTTGTTATAAAATAAAAAATTTGAATTTTTTATATTAAGTTTTTAAAATTAATATTTTTATTTATTATTATTAATTAGGGCTGAGAGAGAGAAATTTATCCTTGAAAAATATGTTAAAAAAATTTTTATAGTAAAAAAGGATGATGACTCTTTGGATATTAATTTGGTAGTAATGATTGTTATTATTTATTTTATCCTATTTATTTATTCTAAATTTAATTATAAAATTATTAATGAAAATAGGAATTTTGGATTGCTATGAATAAAACAAATCTTCATGAGGCTTTGAGGTATTTGTCACTTGGAGCAAACATTGATTGGAAAAATGAAGAGGAAAATTCCACAACAGCTTTACATCAAGCAATTTTAAGAAATGATGATGTTGCGGTGGAATTCTTACTTTTATGGTTATGTGATATAAATTCTGTGGATGAAAATGGTTGGAGTGGTCTTCATCATGCTGCTGCTACAAATAATGCGAGATTAATTCTAACACTTTTGAAAAGACATGCAAATATCAATTTAAAAGATAAAAATAGAAAGGTAAAATAACACTGTATTCTACAATTAAAATAAAAATAAATCAATTAATAATAAAAAAATATATATTAGGTGCCTGTTGATATAGCAGCAGAGTTACAAAATGTTGAAGCAGTTACAGCATTAAGATTATATCAGTTTGAAACTGAATTGACCAGATCAGAATATTCAAGCTTTGGTGTTGATGAAGCATTAACAAGTGTATCAAAGCCATACAATAGAAGTGTATCATCAAGTTTAGATTTAAGAATAAATACAAATAATGGGAACAATAAGAATAAGAATTCAGCAACAAATAGTCTACCCACTACACCCCCATCTTTAAAACCTTTAATAGATATAAGTGAATTGAATAAAGATATTAATAAAAGTAGAAATAGTGTTGATGTGATAAATGATCCATCTGATTTGGCAGATTTGGTTGCATCAAAACTTGTCACAACTGTATCAAATTTCCAAGATGATAGTAGCAATAATGATGAATGAATTAAATATGTGAAAAAATTTTACAATTTATAAATACATATTTGCATTTATATTTATGCTTATTATATTTATTTTTATTTTTATAGATAGATTAATTGTAATTAACAAAGAAAGAAATTGTTATAAAGTATTGTGATGTTTTGTCTTATTTTTTATTTTTAATCATAAAAAATTTTACATTTCACAAAGTTCAAATAATTGTATGAGCTACTCTTCAGTTATACTGATTATTCCCATGCTGTCCTTTGTTTAGTAGATATAGAATATGTGGTCAAATCATCAGTGTATTGTAAAATAGTAAATCTTTGGACTTACCAATTGTGTTGATCAATTAAAACAAACTTACTATGGAAGTCATATGATGTGCTAAATATTATATCCATATCGGGATTCGATTCCAGAATAGTCTGCAGATCAATTCATTATATGTTACAAACGAATTCACAAGATACTTC